AATTTTCAACTTGGACAAAAAAAAGAAACAAAAGGACAGTATCAAGCGTCACAATTTGCTTGAAGAAATTCTTGAACTAACATATAAGTTGCGGGTTTTTTTTATTAATATTCACATAGACAGCCATGATTCTATAAAATCATTAAAAAATTTTACTCAGAGAGACGGGTGCGGGGCGGCCGCCGGCAGACATATTACCTAGAGAGGCGGACGCGGAGTGGACGTCCCTAAAAATTTTTTTCGGCGGCGCGGCCGCCCAAAAAACCGCGCCATGTTTGACATTAGGGCGGGGCGGTCCGCGCTGCTCGTGCGGACCGCCCTCCGCCTCCGCGCGCGCGGTGCACATCTCTGATATATATCACTGCTATACATACGGATATTGTATTATCGGAAACATGAGTAAAAGTGTATTATTTTTTCTACGAAATTATTTTTGTGCGTAATTTCTAGAATTTTTCCTGTCCTCAAAAAAAGTACGCATCTTTCAATTTTCTACTAAAAATATTGAATATTTTGTTGGAAAAAAATGGAAATGAGCAATTCTACAGAAACAATAAGTTAGTTTTAAAGATAGGACTTTCTTTTTAATAAAAAAAATTATTATTGATGATGAACAAAAATTGATTGCATCAGTTTTCAAAAAAACCAGTGATTATTATCAAATTGAACTTTATTTAATTCATATTATTATAGCAACTTGGTTAACAACTACAGATTAATGTCTACTATTAATCTGTCAGAACACTAGAATTTAAAACCGAAATAAAAAAAGAAATATAACTAAATGATAGTTTCAATTTTAATTTTAAAAACTGGACGAAGATATGAAAAGGCAAAAGTTGGCCAGTTCTAAACAATTTTTCGCACGCCTGAAATATGTGTAAACATGTTCTCTAATACTGTTGACATAGTCATCTCTCCTATTCTCTCATAGAATTTTTTAATGTGTAGCACGGCAAAAGAAATGATAACATTTTCTAACCTAAATAAAATAGCATGTGAGATTTTACATCGTGCTCAACTCATTACGTGCTACGGAGTTATTGTATGTGAGAAGGTTATTCAATATCTTCTAATTAAATATTGTAAATATCGTATTTCTCTGCAAATAAAAAAAGATTCGGTTGAAAGTACGCTCTTTCTGGTGTGCTATTACGGTTTTCTATAAAAATGTGAATTTTCGGTTAATTAATAATTATTCTGGTAAAAATTTCAATATAATTACTTTCACTTGATAGTGGAGTAATTTATTGTTTATTATATGTAGAAAAGCATGATAAGATAAATGAAATGAGATTTATGTTACCGAAATCTATTATCTCATTCGTAAACTTCAGAAAATATGTTCATTATATTAACATTGTCATATATTAAGCTGTCAATGCTAATTCAATAGTTTCTATAATCTCTGACTGATGTATGTTAAAGGTATTAAGCATGAAGTCGCAGTGTTGCCATTAATGATAGCCATCTCTGTTTGAACTTCGAAAAACTAAACTAAAGAATTATGCCCCTAAATTTCTACAAGAAATAGAGTGTGGATTGATCTTGTCATTGAAGCATGTGAAAAGTACAGATATAATAACAATCAACTCACAATACGTACTCCAATTACATAGATCTAGACTGCCCGTCTATGTCTTATAAACTTTTGTTCAACGTCAATTGATGAATTAAGGAATTACGTAAATTGATAATTCTAGTGACCATGCATTATTTCATATTTTTCATTTTGTCAGACTCATGGCCAAGCGAGAAGACATGGTCTATATGATAGAACATTCAATTCTGAATCGAATGATATAGTACTTCTCTCTCGGCTATGAGGTTGATACCCCATAGTACCATTACCAAATTGGTCATTGTAGTGACCACACATTATTTCATATTTTTCAAATGGTGAGACTCATGGCCGAGAGAGAAGACATAGTCTATGTGATAGAGCATTCAATTCTGAATAGAATGACATAGTACTTCTCTCTCGGCTATGAGGTGGACACTCTATAGCACCATTAGCAAATTGGTCATTCTAGTGACCATGCATTATTTTACAGTTTCCATGTTGTGAAACTCATGGCCGAGAGAGAAGACATGGTCTATATGATAGAACATTTAATTCTGAATCGAATGATATAGTACTTCTCTCTCGGCTATGAGGTGGACACCCCATAGTACCATTACCAAATTGGTCAATGTAGTGACCATGCATTATTTTATATTTTTAATGTTGTGAAACTCATGGTCGAGAGAGAAGACATGGTCTATATGATAGAACATTCAATTATGAATCGAATGATATAGTACTTCTCTCTCGGCTATGAAGTGGACACCCTATAGCACCATTAGGAATTGCCTAATTGTTGTAGATCTTAGTTTATTGTTTGTGTTACACGGAATTGAATTTTTGATATGCAGTTTTCGTTTTGAACACTTGGTAGCTGTTAGATTGTTTGTTTTTAAGGAGTATTTGATGGTAACTAAGGATTAAGTATTGGTATTTTCTGGATTGTGTTAGGTATTTTCTGGATTTTTTTGTGATTGGTTACTTTAATGATGAATATGATTGGTCGTCGTGGTAGCTTCACATCGATATTAAATGAAGCTTTACCTCAAGTCTACGATATTTATCTGAAAAAATTATCTAACTACCCGAAAATTGTGGTCACTGATGTGACTACTGTTTGCAAAATGATTAAAAAAGAGATAAAACAAAACAATTCTATAAAAAAAAGGTCATGAATGTATCATGCTCTGACTACAAAGATAATATTGATTATCGTGATTTAGATGTTAAATTATGAAAGTCAGTTATTATTAATGAAACTAAACTATTCCTTTTTATTGAATTCTTGCTAATTAAATATAATAAATTGTGATAGATTCAGTAAATTTTTAGCAATACGAAATATGAACGAGGTTGAGAAATCATTTTAATTTGGACTGCTTCATTGTGAAGACGAAGATTTTGAACAAAGATTCAAAATACTAAATCTCTACTAAAACCTGTCATTACATCGACTCAAATAGTAAAAACTCCATATGGTTCACAATTTGATCGTGTTTTTGGATATAAATCTGAACAGTTATTACAATCATCCGTCCTTTTTGCCGTGCTTTCAAGTCAAAATATTGATCAATGTAAAGAGGAAAAATTATTTAGATTGTTGTTATGAGAAGAGCAAATATGTTGATAGACTGAGGTTGACTATAAAAGGAAAGAAAAGAATTCTCGACAGCATGTTTCTTTTTCTCGATTCTTTCTTCAATATTATAGGTTAGAGCAACAAGCAATCATCGTTGATAAGAAGAAAAAATATATTATTATGTTTGTTCTTCTTTATTTTTGTTTTCTATTTGACTCATGAATCATGATTGAGAAATATAAAATTTACTGCTTGGTAATAGATTGGTCATTATCAAGTAAAACAATATAGCTATGACAAATGAAATAACTAAAACAGTTTTTCTAGCTGGTTGTGGAGGTGGCTATGATATATTTGGTGGTCTACCACATTATTTTAAAATTAAGTCGTCTGAAAATTATGATGTAACACTTATCAATTATAGTTTCACTAAACGTCATCTTTTATCTAAATACAGTCAACAATTAACAACATTACTCTTCCGCGTTGATCCAAGACTGGACGTGATATGGCTGACAGATGATGTTTACTTTCCTGAACAACGTCTTGCTAATGAACTTCAAGTACCTATTTATGCAATCTTATGTGATTATGATGAAACACGTATTGAATTAATCATTGAAGCCTATAAATATTTAATACAAGAACGTACTATTGATGAGCTCATCTTGATCGATGGTGGCTCAGATGTTTTATTAACAGGCAATGAAAAACAACTGGGTAAATAATATATTTAATTTGACAAAATCTTTGTTGAAAATATTAATTTATTGTAGGTACTCCCGTTGAAGATATGTCACATGCACGTGCTGTGCACCTTTTGTCTTCAGATAAGGTTAAATCAAAATATATTGTAGTCATCGGTACTAATCTTGAAGTAGGTCATGGAGTTCATAAATCTGATATCGATACACGATTAACTGCTCTTTCATCTCATGCTATCTTCACATGGTTGTGGCAATATGAACATGATGATGCTGTTCGTTACTATGTCGATATTTTTACTCGTTGTTGTCCTCGTCATTCGATTGTACATAGCCTCATCTGCGCTGCATTGCAAGGTCGAACGGGATACTATTTGCCTGAACACTTACGTAGTCGTATTACTAAATCAATCGTTTCAATTGGTGAAGAGACATGTGTTTCAACTGGTTATCATTTCGATGATGTTATGCGTGAAAATGTCTACTTTGAACGATTGACACCTGCATTGAACTTAAGACAAGTGCACGATGTTATTTTGAGTAAAAAAAGGAAATAATCTATCCGGCATGGAGAATGTATCCTCTCGAAGATCGATTTTGCTCTTACAACAGTATGAGTTGAGCTTCTTCAAAATGAATAACTCTAGTCTATCTCCGCGATGTAGGTGGGTGAAGAGAAGAACATACCTCACTCAGTCACGCCGAACTGCGTGCTGGTAAGGATTACGTTTGATATTATAATTCAAAAGAGGTTTTCATTTTATTTGATTGCTGATTTTTCGACATAAGACTTCTTTCCCTCTCCTGCGAAAAAAATGTTCGCCTTCGGTAGAATTAACCTAAAGTCTGTCTGAATCCTTCTGGTGCTACATTGATAATACTAAAGTGATCAAATAAAGTCGTCTTTCTATTAGAGACTATGCAAAACTTGTTTTTCGTTCTAAAGATTGCACATTTCCGTTGTTCAAAACCGACGGACTCGTTCTGCCACAATCAATCGCCTGCATTTACTCTATCTGACACTCGTGCCATACTTATCCAAACTTTTTCTTATAGTAGTGATTGAATTGGACGAAACTTTGTTGTAATTGAGAAATGGCATCAACATCGAAAAATCCTATCGAATCCAACTACTTTTTAAGACGCTTGATCAATTCTAACAGAAAAGATTCGTAGGATTCGTATGTTTTGAATGTCTTACTGAGACTCGCATTTCAAAATAAAAGCTAGTCGATTTGCAATGAAGTTAAACATTATTCGTGTACACTTACACATTGTAGTGTATCAATCAACATTGAGTTTCATTGATTAAGATGTATGTCGAACAGTGCAGTAGAAAAAAAAGAAGAGTATATGAAAGAAAAGTGTATTGTTAAAATGTGATAAGTGTATGATTCGAAAAAACTACTATGCATTTGAACTTGTCTTTGTATTCGATGTGGACAATAAATATTAAGTTGACAGATAAACATCTCGAGAAATGCACCTGAAATAAGCCGTTGTCTTTAAAATCTTGAATTCTTTTATTGTTGTTCTTATCGTGATTTAACTGAAGAAGCTATAGAAATAATCAATTGACCTGTGCTATGTATATATAGTAACATTTTAAGACAGCAAACATCATTTGTTCTTATACGAGTCATTGAATAATACGAAAATTCTATTCTCTATAAAATCAAAAGCAAAACTAGAAATGAATATTGTATTAGTTTGACGCCAAGAAAAAATATATAAACGAGTATGATCACTCTTATTGCATTAGAATTGCTAACGACCTCTAGATTTAAGGGTGAAGCTGCCATTATCACTACTTCTCAACGAGTCTTCTCAGTTAATAAAATCGACGACCATCTATGACTTGGGGATGATATTGACTCATCTGGAAATCATCAATCACTCGATTAATTCAACATTACACACATTCTTACAGTATTCAATGTTAATCCTAAACAATCAACAGTTGATCGACATATTCGCTTCTATATTCACACTTATGATATGCAGGTGTAGGTGTGAGAGGTGTGTTGGCCTGTTTTCTCACCTATACATCACGTTCTCAAATGATTTTCTTTAATGCTAATCGACGCAAGAATAGAAGAAACAGCAATGATATAGAATGTTGATCGAGTGCTAAACGTATGAGATTAAGAATATATGATTATTAAACAGAAAATATTCGCTGTTAGGACAATTCATCACAATGACATAATTCAGTTCAATAATAACTCATATTTATTTATTTATTTATTGATGAAGTGACTTGTCAAGTTAAGTTTGAAAGACATAATTCAACGATGATACAAATTGTTGGAAATGTTTCTAATCACTAAATTTCAATTTTTGATCTCGAGTAGTACCGTTATAAATGAGTCTTGGCATGATAAAAAACGGATCTGTTTTCTACTTCATGAATAATGTCGATGAGATGAAAAAGCTCTTCGACGCAAGGTATCATTAAAAATAGTCCTGATGCTGTAACAATCATCGACTTAATCCGACAAATTTAATTTTAAATGTATAAAATAAGAGATGATAGTTTTTAAGGTCCCTCTCCCTCTCACCACCAAAATTTCGAGAATATATTAGAATTCGAGATATGCAGGGCCAAGCTTTTTTAGTCCCGATCTCGGTAACTTCTTTGTCAATGGGTCGAGTCATAGTCCTATTAAATCTGGTTTGGTTCCCACTTAGAAAAAACTTTCAGAATTTATTTGCATTAAATATAAAAAGTCTTCAATACTCGTGTTTGGATTAATTCAGCCAACGAATACAATTTGTTTTTTTTTAAATCTCTCTCTTGAATTTTACTTCAATTGGTGTCATTTCTAACATAATGTGCTAAAAATTACTAAAAAATCAACAACAACTTTTAGTTCCGGTTCGAAAAACTTTTCTTTTTGTAGTCACGACCCCGATTCCTTTTTATTTGTTGATTCAGCACATCTCTAGATATGAGGCTGAATCTTTTTTCTGTATATAATTAGCCAACTTCAGCATATACACAAAGTTTCAGTTTAATATCACATAATAACTTGAAGACCTATCTTGAGGGGCAAGAAACCTTAAACTAACAGAATTCGTAGATCATGTATGGAAATATAGAAAAAATGAATTCATTAAAAGTTATTTTTTCTGATTATGCCAAAGTTACTCTTTATTATTGAGCACTAAGGTTTCACTTGCTTTCTCAAAGTATTTTATCTATGTGTCCGAAATCTTGAGCTGCGATACGAAGTAAGTGATTAGAAATATTTCCAATAATTTTTATAGACGGTGAATTGCGTGTTTAAAACTTAACTTAATAAGTTACTTCATCAATAAATAAATAAATAAATAAAAGTTATTATTGAATTATATCAATGTGACGAATCGTCTGGTTACACAGCTGGCAAAAAAAAGATGAGAGATATTCATAACGTCTCTTGAATTAACATGTTAGCATGTGCTTTGACACCGTGTAGCCTTTTCTTCCGAAGATTGAATAGATGTTGTTCAGCCATTGAATTTGTATAGATAATTATTTTTTCTCTCTATTGTTGGACACCAATCATGGGAACATACACATTTTCGATCATGATGAAATAGCTGGCGAATTCTGATTTATATTTAAAGTTATAATCCTTTTTTTTGTGATAATATTTATCGTTGATAAAATATATCATGGAGAAATCATACTTCAATAATTGTTGATATTGTTAACTCGTTCCCTTGTTATGATCTTATATGTAAAAAGACTAATTTCTCACTCATATTTCATCCTGTGTTCTATGGGGCTCTTTATTATTTGTTCGGACTTTGATACAAATCTGTATTTATTCTCATGATACTGTTATCTCAATATTCGATTTATTTCTGTCGCATTTTATCTATTTATTAAAGCCCAACTATATTGTGTTGTACTTATTCATTCTGATACTTCGACTCACATATTCGAAACATGGCCTTGATTCTACATATGTTTATCAAACTTTTGTTTGTGCATCTTATAGTCGCTCAAGGTTTAGGTAAAAGTATTTCTAAAATAAATATTGATGAATAGAAAGTTTTTCAATCACTAACAGTGAATCAATGTAGTGAAAACGAAGAATACACTTGTGGTTCAACGTGTATTGAAACATGCAACTACAAACCTCAAATTTGCGTATTGATGTGCAGGTTCGGCTGTTTTTGTAAAACAGGATATGTACGAGAATCGAACGATACCAACAGTCGTTGCATCAAACGTGAAGAATGTAAACCAATCGATGTTAACAATTGTGGTGAGAACGAAATGTACTTGACGTGTGGTTCTGCATGTCCACCGGTATGTGAAGATTGGTCTTATCCACTTCCAAAGCTACCTAAAATATGTCCCAGAGTGTGCATGCAAGGCTGTTTCTGCAAGCAAGGCTTATACCGTACGAAAGATGGTAGATGTGTTCAATCCAAAGAATGTTGTGGCATAAACGAGGTATTCACAGATTGTGGTTCAGCATGTCCCGAAACTTGTAATAACAAACCCGAATTTTGTACTGAACAATGTATCACTGGATGCTTTTGTCGTCATTCGGAGTATGTCCGCATGAATAACAGTACTGGCAGTACTTGCATTCATCGTAATGAATGTCCAAAATAATGGCTGATGGTTCATGGATACGAACATAATTCAGTCTTTTTTGATGCTTGAATTTAGTGAAAAAAAATAATGAAACGAATAAAGATGATTTAATTTCATTATTTCCAATGCATATAATATATTTTTGTACGATATCAGAAAAAGATTGGTTTTAGTAACTGATAATAAGTCGTTCTATTCGATTTCATATATTTGACAAGAACACTCGATATTTAATAGTGGAATGATCTCATCTCCTTCTATATATAAGATGAAATCGAATGGGATAATTGGTGGAACTAATGCTGTCAGAAATACCAAAACTCTTAGCAAATACATTCACTACACCATTTTTCTAGATCTCATAGCCACGAGTATTTATCGTACACATTGGTTTTGCAAAAGATGCTGATAATTATAAGTGTGTCTTCATTGACAAAGCAATCTAGATTCCGTTACTGTTAAACGGAGACATTGTCTTGCTAATCATTTTTTCTCAGATTCTCTGTGAAGTTTAGTATTTGTTAATTTGTATCCGCTTTTCAGATAATCTATGAGTATTTTCGTTCAAGTTCTCATGTCATTTTCAATATGCAATGTTCTACTACAATATCCATACAATGTTTCAATCTCCATTTCTTTTTTGTATGTTTTACTAGACCTTAAGATATTAATCTCGATAATGTCTATAACAATAACAAAAAGTTTCGCAACTTTGGTGTGTGAAAAATCAAAGTGAACCGTTGCTTGCGGTAAATTCATCAACAACATAAACGATCCATATTTTGATAAACATTATGTGACATACAGGCGAGCATCCATACTTTCTCGATCACTCTGAATTTTGTTACGCAATATCCTCTATGTCGACTCTAAGGAGTGAATATCATGATATCACACTTCCAAAAGATTTAGTTGAAACGAATGATTTTCCATGGATTGAACATGTAGATAAAGTAGCAAGAGCACTCGATGCTTTTTCACCAGATAGAAATGGATGGATCGACAAGAGTGTTCATATATGAAGATAGTGAATTTATATCAACAACAACAAAAAAACATGGAAATCAATATTTGATCATACTCAATGATACTCAATAGATACTTGTTGGTAGAGGTAAACGAGATTTGGAGTACGGGTATTGGAAAGAGTGATGAGAAGATCCTAACACTCACTACCCATATTCATACCCTATTAGTTTTGATAAGCATTTCTTAATCTTACTACTTATCGCCACAAGTTGAAATCGAAAGATTGAAATCCGTTGTTGGAGTATTTCCCTCATGAAAAAGAGAAAAGAAAAGATTATTAATTGATCAATTTTTAATGAAACTTCATGATCGGAAAAATCTTGAACAATAAATCCTATTTACAATGGTAATATGAGTTTATATTCAGAAAACACTTTGTTTAAATTTGCAATAAAATTTTAAATTATTGATTTTTGTAAAGAACATATTTTAAAAGTGAGAACTATCCATTGGCGACAAGAAAACTATTTATCTCTTACTCTTATCATACAAGTTAAGAAGTACAGAAAAATATTTAGTTATTTGGATGCTTTTTCAGTGAATGCTAATCAAACAGATAAATTATATCTATCAAGGTAACAATTTGATTTGTAAAAGGTATTTTATTTTTCATAGAATAGTTTAGAT